ACGCCCAGCATCCCCCAGCTACAGTTGGGGGGGGCACCTTTGCAAGCGCCTGCATCTTCTGGGGTTACAATCCACTGCTGTGAGTCCATCTGGGGGGGCCCGGCCTGGTTGGAAAGGGGTCCCCAGAGGCCATCGAGTCCCACCCGTGGCGAAGGCAGGCTCGGCCTTCTCCGCTCCTCCAGTGCACAGCCCTCTTCCTTCTCTCCCAGTTGGGAGGCGAGGTGGTGCTTGCCTTCTCCGCCTCTCTTCCAAAGCCCTGCCTGGCCGGGAGGTGGGGTGGGGGTGGTCCCCAGGAATGGGGTCATCACCGTGATTCGAACCCATGCTTCCTCAGAGCAGAAAATGGAAAGCCCCCCCCCTCTCCTTTAAGGATAACAATTGTCATGGGATGCCGAAAAGCAGACTACGGGTTGTGTGCCGCCCCCCCCCCAAAAAAACTCCACTATAAAAGACATTTGCTCCCTCAAGGGTGCCTCTGCCTGCTAAACGCCTCCAGGATTGCCATCTTGCTTTAACTGTTCAGTCGCTTCCCAGTCCTTTGGTGGAAATAAAAGTTCGTACCAGTAAGTGAACTCTCCAGGGTGGTTCTTTCGGCAGGTAACGTCCGAGCGCAATCGACCACCACAGACAGCCTCGGACGGGAAAAACCTCCTCAAGAGGGAAGGCGAGGCCAGACTGCCAGGGACCCCTGGCGCCGCTCCCCTTCTTTCGAAGTAAAAGCCTGTGCGGGCAGGGTGCCAGACGGAGTGGGGCGCCCCCCCCCCGCAGCCCCGTGCCTCTTGACGCCTGTCCGATGGGCCGGTGCCTTGCAGGCCACAGAAGCTGGGTTTGGCACAAGGCATCGGAACACAATAGATGGCCCTTTATCTTTCGGTCGATAACTCTGTGAGATAAAAAGAGAAGAAACTTCATGGCATCTCCGTTGCGCCTCCAGGGAAAGAACGGCGGAACATCGGCCTCCTTTCCCTTCCTGCCTTTCCCTTCCTTGCTTCTCTTCACCATCCAAGGTGAAGAAAGGGGTGCATTCCTTTCGGGGGGGGGGAAGTGTCAGGCACTCCTTTTGATTCAATTCATTCCCCCAAATTCTCAACAACCAGGGGCATTGGGCAGCCGCGGTTGAAGCGGCCGTCTTGGGGATCCTGATACGCACACTCACGGGGAAGGTTCAGAAACGCTGACTGCCGTGTCGGTCCTATCCACGAGCCAAGCCCGCCGCCAGGAGGAGCAGGTCTTTTGTAAAGGTGATGACCCCTGACGGCCCATCCAACAGCCCCACTGCTAAGCGCCTCCGAGCCCAGAAGAGAGCCTCCTCTCGCCTCATTGGTTTTGAAAATGAGCTGCCGCTGCTATGAGCTTGGCCTCCTGGGCTTCAGCATAGGATTCCTTTCAAGACTGATTTCTCAAACCTGGAAGTATGTTGGATTGACGTGTCTCCAACACCAGCATGCTTTTTGCCCTAATCACAGGTTCCTGATGAAGTCGGATTCTGCCCCGTGCCAGCAGGAGGAGAGAAACTTGATTTTTATCCTTCTGATCAAGCCGAGGACAAATCCTTGAGTAACTTCAGATGCATCTTCGAATCAAGTCATCGGATTCAGACAGATGGTCCCAGAGTGCAAAGCCCATCATCCACCACCCACCATGAGCTGTACTGGCTAGAACATGGTTATCCAGCTCCGATGGAACCACAAAGGTTTACCTCCTGAAGCCTTTTTCCACCCGTTAGTGGTTTTAAGGACTTATTGAAATGGCTTCTTTGTTTGAATCTTTATAGTGTTGCCCCATTTGTGAAAGCACAGAATGGCAGATGGGAAGGGAATAAAAAAGATTAAACCCAGCAAGAACTATCTGAACACACATCAGTAAGAAAATACTATAGCAGGTGATGATTTAATGGTGATGGATTGTGCCAAGCCTCTCCTAATATAAACCAGAAATTTGTCAGTGCTTTTAAAACATTAAAGATTCACATCTGTTTTCAAGATTTTCAAATGGCTACAAAGGAAAAAAAGGAGCTAAGGAAAACCCTGTGTACAGCTCTTTGTAGTCACATGCAGATCTGTGGAACCCCCAGACCCAGAGGTAGTCTATCTGTAAGGAATGGAAGAGACAGGCAGAAGCAGGAGAGGGGTCTCCTTATTTCTTTCCTGCCCTGCTGATGCTCTTAGGATCATGAAGGAAGAGCTGGAGGCCACCTCAAGGATCATCTGGGGCAATCATTCCAAACCTGGCGTCCCCAGATGTTCTTGGACTACAACTCCCAGAAGCCTTCGTCACTCGGTGCGCTGGAGAGGATTTTCGGGAGTGGTTGCCTGAGAACATCTGGGGACCCAAAGTCAGGAACCCCCCATCACATCTGACCCCCTCCCAAAGCAGGAGAACCACCCACTGTCAGAAAACAGCTGGGTCTTCTTCCCGGAAATAGATGGGAGGTGGGCTTACCTCCAGCGGCAGAAAAAACGGCCATGGGTTTTGGGACACCCTGAAGACGGAGGAGCGGCAAAACCCCCACCCGGCGGCCTCTCTGCGCTGAATCCAGCAATCCAGCGGGCTGCATTTCACAGCGAGGACGTAAGCCCCAAGGCAGTTCGTGGAGGAAGGGGGGCACCAGCCCTGAAAGCTTTAGGCCCATCCATTTGGAGAGCCTCAAGGCACCGGGAGGACCTTCTCCCCCCCAAAAAAGAGAAGCCCGTGTGCCCAGAAGGGCATTTGCACGCTGGATTAGGAGCAAGGCAGGCGGAACAGGCCCTCCTCCTCCTCCTCCCGGCAGGGGCCCCACCTTTCGCTCCCCTCCCCTAATCAAAAGCAGGATGCTCTCAAAGCCAATTAGGAAGGGTGCTCGACTCTCAGCTCCTC